TTTTTTTTTTTTTTTTTGAGACGGAGTCTTACCCTGTCACCCAGGCTAGAGTGCAGTGGCGCAATCTCAGCTTACTGCAAATTTTGCCTCCCAGGTTCAAATGATACTCCTGCCTCAGCCTCCCGAGTAGCTGGGATTACAGGCGCTCGCCACCACGCCCAGCTAATTTTTATGTTTTTAGTAGAGATGGGGTTTCACCATGTTGGCCAGGCTGGTCTGAAACTCCTGACCTCATGATCTGCCTGCCTCGGCCTCCCAAAGTGCTGGGATTACAGACATGAGCCACCGTGCCTAGCCCTACCGAAACATTTACGCCCCAAAGTGAAGTTCTCATTACTATTGGCAGGGTTGAGTCTAGGCTAAAGTACAATGTGGAAGGGAACTGGGAGTGGTGGTGAGAGACTGGCATCAAAGAGACTGCCCCCTGCGCCAGTTTCCCTAGAAGCGGAACAGGTAAGCCCGTTGTGGCCCTGAACTAGGGGCATCCACTTAAAGCTCTAGTGAACAACAATCATTAGACACTGATAGATGGATGTCGCTGAAACCTTGCACTCTGGAATGAAGCAGGGTCTGACAATAAGAGTTCTGGGTTCAACTCTCCACTGTCACCTAGTGTAACCTTCCTGGTCTCCCTGGACTTCAGGTGTCTCCTATTAAATAGGGATCTTAATAAGCAATTTCAGAGGACTCCTGAAAAATAGAAGGAAGTAGTAACTACTTTGCACACTCAGAGATACGAAGCAAATAGTAACCTTCTTAGTCAGCTGACAAATTCACACAGGTGAGATTTATTAAAAACAAATGATGAGGTCTGTAATCCCAGCACTTTGGGAGACTGAGGCAGGAGGATCACTTGAGTCCAGGAGATCAAGACCAGCCTAGGAAAGGTAGGGATACCCTGTCTCTAATTAAAAAAATAAGAGAGAACAAACAAAACCAAAAGATGAATAGACATTATTTTGGTCTAGTGGAGGGAATAACTGTTGGGTTGGTTCCTATTTCTAATGGCCAAACAGTCTTTGCTTATTTGTTTCCTGGTGGGGGTCCCGTTGGGGTCTCTGGGTGTCAGGAGGATGCTGGGTGCTGGGGCAGGGTTATGTGGGAGCCCAGAGTGAGGAGAGGATGGCTGGAAGGAAAATGGGGTAGAGCTGCCCCCGGGGCCTGCAGCAAGTGGAATCCATGAGTGTCTGTGGTGTGGAAAGTGTTGCTCACTGACCTTTCAGTTTAGCAGGATCTTGATTCAGATTAGAACCAGAAAGTGCCCTAGTGAGAAGGGACTTTAGATAGCATCTTCACCCACCCCGTTACTCGGAGGCCCCCAAAGATGAAACGACTTGTTCAGGGCTTCCCAGCAAATGCAAAGCAGAGCAGAGATCAGAACAGAGCAGGGGGCTCCCTGCCCTCCACTTGCCTCTCCAGGGCCTTGAAGGATCCTCTCCCTCCTTCAAGTAGGTGAATTTGATAAACATGTGTGAGCATTTTCATTTGGAGCAAGGCAGGGACAAGCACCACCTTCCTATGTAACTAGAGGTCTATAGTCATGCTGCTGTTTTCAGAACAAAGGGCCCAGACACCTGAATGGATGCATTTGAAGATAGGTGTCCATCACCACCTCCTTAAATGAGGTTCTTTGTGTTCATTTTAGGGGAGTGTCTATTAAAAAAAAATCACAAGAGCACTATATAGTCATGAAAATGTCCCAGCACACTTTCAGACTGCCCACAGTCTGCTTTTATTATTCTATTTTAAATATAATATCTAGTTATTTCCAGTCGTGTGATGAGCTAGGCTAGTGAGTCTGAATATTATGCAGACTTGCTTTTCTTACGATTGCATTAAGGTCACCTGACTTCCTCACCCTTTGGCTTCCTGTACTCCTGACTCAGCCTCCTGAGTCGCTTGGATTACAGGCACCCGCCACCATGCCTGGCTAATTTTGATATTTTTAGTAGAGATGGGGTTTCACCATATTGGCCAGGCTGGTCCCGAACATCTGATCTCAGCTGATCTGCCTACCTTGGCCTCCCAAAGTGCTGGGATTACAGGCGTGAGCCACCGTGCCCGGCCAATCCCCCAATTGTAAAAGACCATCTCAGTGCTAGCTACATTTGAGGATCGACATGGCAGAACCAAGTTCTTGTGGGGGACAAGCAGGGAAGTAAATGATTAAGAGGACTCTGTTTTTTGATTGTTTTTTTTTTTTTTTTAATTCCATTTTTTACACATCCACCTCTTTGTCATGAAGTCACAACATTTTATCAAAATATACACACAGCACAAATACTTTTAAAGTGTATGGTTGGAATTCTAATTAAACTCAATTGACTGCTGCAAACAGCATGCATTGGGTCATTGATCCTGACTGATGCTCCCAGAGGGGCTTATGAGTCATGAAATCACCAGTGATGGCAGGAGCAGGGGTTGAGGTTCTTTTCTCAGGAGAATTACCCACTTCAGTTCTTTTCTGGGTATCATGTGAGGATGGCATGAATGACTGCACTGATCCTGGGATCTGATGAGAGTGGACGGATGGAAAGGTTTTATTGGCAAGGGTGAAACGATATTAACTGGTGGAGCTCTAAATATCATTTCTGTCTTGACAAGATAGCCAGCGTAGGTGTTCTAGCAAAACTTCCCTCTCACTTTCCACCTGTCCTCTTGCCCATGGACTTCATGGCGAATCAGAATGAATGAATTTGTAGATCTCAAGTTACAAGCTTGTTTATTGTAAAGAATTCCCATAAAAGCCTATGCAGGGCTGTCCCCCCAGCCATTTATATGTCCACAGATAGGAACAGGATAAAATGGGTTAGTAGTTGCTTGTTTGCGGCTGAGATCCTCTACTAGACCGGGCAATGGGGCCATTTCGGTCTTGAGATGTCTGTACTCCATTTGCCCCGATTCAACGAGCATTTCCCTGATCAGCAGTGAGTGAAGAGCCATCATTTATTGCAGTATCAAGCTTTGAAACCTTTCTCAGGGCAGAGTCCCATCTTTCAAGTAAATAACTATGGTTAGTAATGACCTAACTTCAGGAGTGTCTGTGAGACACGTCAGGAGTCAAGACCCCTGGTCATTAGTGAAATAGACTTGGTTTCTGCTACAGATAAAAGTCACGTGGGGGTAGAACCGGCCTCAGCCTTTGTTGTCGAGTGTTTCTTTTCTTTTCCAAGTTGAAAAAGGAACCCAGGCAGTGTCGCTTGAACCAGTTCCCAGGGAGAAGGCAAATTCCTTCGTGTCTCTGGAGGGGCAAGATTCAGGATATCAGCCGCTCCATCCCAGGGTTAACAAAGGAAAAGTTCCTGAACATGTTCTGGTCCATGCTGTTGATCAGTGCTCTGTCGGCGAATGACAGCCGGGGCTTCTCGTTCAAGAATTCTTTGTCGAAATTGCTGCAGTCGTATGGTGATTTCTTGGTCAGAGTTTAAGGGAAGAAAGAAAGAGAAGAAATATCAGCCGTTAAGGTCATTATCTTCATTTTTGTTATCTAGGCTGTAATCTCTGTCTGGCCAAGTTGGTGTTTGCAATCCTTTAAATGGAGGCAATGCCCATCGATTATCATGCACAGCTTTCATTGAACATGGCTACGATCCTGTGTCCTCAGCTTAATAATATAAATAAATTCACAGAAGGACTACCATTGTAGAGATTCAAGTGGGATCTCATGTTTCTAATTGATGGTTTACATGAAGTAGGGTTGCCAAACTTTGAAAAAATGATCCACCCAAATTTGACCTCTGTCTGTTTAGTCTTCATGGAATAGAAGGCGGGGATAGGGGAGGGTGGTAGGGAGAGGGAGTGCGAACAGAGGGATGGGAAGAGAGAAGGAATTTCATATTCCTGTTCTTTTATCCACATTCTTGGCTATTGTCAGTCCCCTACCCTTGTGAATTTTATTAGTAAATTCCTTGGGCTGTCTTTCTTAGACAACACAGGCTGGGACAGACTCTTTTGAGACCCCTTGGTCCATTGGTTTTCATGGCAAACAAAACAACAGAGAAAGGGAAAACAAACATCTGTTTCATACATGCTATTCAGTATGGTGTTCAATCCAGTGTCCCAAGATTGAGAACGACTATTACCTATCAACAGAAAGTCCTATGAGCACAGAGAAGCAAAATGAAGAGTCAGGCCCCTCCCACCCTCCAAGGGGCCCTGGGGCTGTGAGGTCAATGGCCTCTGGCGGCTCAGACCACAGGTCAGGGAAAGTTTCCTACTGGCAGAACTGGGAATGTCCTTTAGGGCAAGCTTAGACCAAAGTTTGATTTTTATATGTAAAATATTAAGTCAATTTTAATCTGCAGTGGAAGGTGAGACATGCTTTAACAGTTCTGATAGCTAAAAAGAAGGTAAAATTTTTATTTTATCACAAATGATTAACCCATGCATTAGATGTGGTACTGTCTCAAATAGAGCGCTTGAGGCCGACCTGTTGGCCCCTTGGAAGGTCCCTGGAGCTTGGGACAGATGTTGAGAACAGCTATTCTTGCCCTGGGAATGAGGTGTACCTGCTTCTTCTGGCCGTTCGCTATCATGACTAATAGCCTGTGTGTTCTCTGGGGTGGACTCTGTTGTGAAGTCTGTGACCTGGTGCTCTTGGTCCATGTCCACCCAGGCAATCACTCTGGTACTGCCAGCAATCACAGGGAATGGTTAAGGCTGGAAAACCTACCATTTTGCTCTACTCTTTTAAGTTATTATTTTTGCTGGGTGCAGTGGCTCACACCTGTAATCCCAGCACTTTGGGAGGCCAAGGTGGGTGGATCACAAGGTCAGGAGTTCAAGAACAGCCTAGCCAATATGGTGAAACCCCGTCTCTACTAAAAATACAAAAATTAGCTGGGCATGGTGGTACATGCCTGCAGTCCCAGCTACTCGGGAGGCTGAAGCAGAAGAATCGCTTGAACTTTGGAGGCGGAGGTTGCAGCGAACCAAGATCACACCACTGTGCTCAGCCTGGGCGACAGAGTGAGACTCTGTCTCAAAAAAAAAAGTATTATTTTTAAAAATTGTGATATACATAATACAAAATTTACTTTCTTAACAATGGTTTTTTCTCTTTAAATTTTATTTTTAGAAACAGTGTCTCACTCTGCCACCAGGCTGGAGTGCACTGGTGTGATCACAGCTCACTGCATCCTGTAGGGCTCAAGTGAGCCTGCTGTCGAGGCCTACTGAGTAGTCTGAACTGCAGGCATGCACCACCAAGCCCACTTAATTTTGTAGTTTTGTAGAGGTGGGGTTTAACTGCATTGCCTGTGCTAGTCTCAAACTTTTGGGTTCAGGCAATCTTCCCACCTCAGCCTCCCGAGTAGCTGGGACTACAGGCATGCACCACAAAACCCACCTAATTTTTTGTATTTTTTTTGTAGAAATGGAGTCTCACTATGTTGCCCAGGCTGGTCTCACACTCCTGGACTCAAGCAATCCTCCCACTTCGTCCTCCTGAGTAGCTGGGACTACAGGCGTGCACTACCGTGCCTGGCCTTAACCACTTGGAAGCATGCAGTTCCATGGCAGGAGCACATTCATGTTGTTGTACAGCCATCTCCACCATTCATCTCCGGAGCTCTCTTCATCTTGACCTCACTTTATTTATTTATTTATTTTTTTTGAGGCAGGGCTTTTGCTCTCTTGCCCAGGCTGGAGTACAATGGTGTGATCTTGGCTTACTGCAACTTCTACCTCCTGGGTTCAAATGATTCTCATGCCTCCTGAGTAGCTGGGATTACAGGCACCTGCCACCATGCCCAGCTATTCTTTGTATTTTTAGTAGAGACAGGGTTTCACCACGTTGGTCAGGCTGGTCTCAAACTCCTGACCTCAGATGATCCACCCGCCTCCACCTCCAAAAGTGCTGGGATTATAGGGGTGAGCCACAATACTTGGCCCAACCTTACTTTATTTTTGCCTTCACTTTATGGGGGCCCATCTGGCAGGTGAGCCAGATCATTCTGCCTTTGCTGATGTAGCTCAATGACTTTTGCCAGTGAGGACATATATGGAAATGTACAGATCTATCTTTTCTTAAGCACTGATTTACGTAGTTTTTCCCTTAAACCAAAGAACACCTAACAGTTGTCATGAGGAAATGTAGTTACATGAGCACGTTACAGATACTTCAATAAACATCATGGAAAAAGCAGCTCCAAAATTCCTGATGTAGGAGGCAGGGGTGATGTCCAAGTTTGGGTTACCCAGACCGGACCGTTAGGTGTGTGTGTGTGTCATGTGCAAAACTTCCAGCTTGTTTCATAGTCACTCTCACAAACTCACATTCAGCCTAAGGCACGGGCTCACAGCAATGCATTCTTCATGCAGTTGCATCTTGACTACAGAGGTTAAATTTTGCAAACAAGAGTGACCTCCCCTCCCTGGCGCGCCATCCCAGCAACAGGTGGTAGGGAAGTGCATTCCTCTTGGGGAGTGGGGCTGCTGGGGAGTCGGGGCTCTGGCAGGGGTGAGCAGCTTTGCTGACCTGGACAGGCAGACCACCCTGAGTGGAGGGAGAGAGGTTGACACCAACGCCCCCTGGGTGAGTCCTTACCACTTTCGGCCGGAACGGCGGGTCAATCTCCTTCCGTTCAAGTTCCTCCCAGTTGATCTCCCGAAACAAAGGGTGCTGGCGGATGTCTCCCCTCACACCTAGCCTCTTCTCTGGTTCTCGCACAAAGAGCTGAAAGGGAGCAGAGGAGGAGCCCTGAGGTCTCCAGGGATGAGCCTTTTGCATCAGGAGCGCATGGTGCTTCCCAGTGCGTCAGCCCCTTCTTTTCTAGCCTCACTTTTCTACCCACCTTCATCAGGACTGACTAAAATCAATCTGGTCCTGAAGCTCTCCCTTGCAGGACCCTTTCTAAATTTGCTGGTGTCTGACTCACTATCTTCCGAGGCACACAGACCTGATTTGAAACTTCGTCCTGTGTTACTGATGGGACCTCAGGCAGCTGACAGGCCTGAGTCAGTTTCCTCACCTGTAAACTGAGCCAAGTGCCCTCCTCACAAGGTGGATATGAAGATTAATGAGACAGCAACACACACACATACACGTGCGCACACATGCACATACAGGCACACACATGCACCATATGTGAGCACATGCACACACATGCACATACATGAACACAGATATATGATGGCATACACAGATATGAACACACTGGCACACACATAAATGTGAGCACATGCACATACACATATACACATATACATGCACACATATACACATACACATGCACACAGGTATATATAAATGCACACACACAGACATGAACACACACGTGCACACGCTGACATACAAATGTGACACATGCAGACAGGCAGGCATATGCATGCATATACACACGTACATGCACACAGACACACACATTTGTGCACTATAACTCCTGGTCTATTAAATCCAACAGTATAGAGTGAGGGATCAATTTATTTGTCATTTGATGAATTATCCATCAATTGAGTCTGATTTCTTACAAAGCTGCATTCTTAGGATGAGTCCAACATTGTGGGGACTCAGGTATAATAGAAACTAGTCCCAGACAGTCAGCTTTGGACTCTACAAGGCATCTGGGTAAAGAGAATTACCCTCAACTCCTGCAAACCTGCTGGAGGAGTAATATTTAATTCAAGGTCCATCTAGCAATTTCTGAGCTGGCACATATGTACATTCTGCTTTGCACTGTTCCTTCTCCTGTTCTTTCCCCCTAAGAGGTCAAAATGAACACTGGCAAGACAGGAAAGGAACTTGGATATTTTTCAAACTTAAATAAAACCTGTCAAGGGCGTTAAGAAACAGGAGAGTCTAAACATTAACTTAGAAAAGTAACAGGTCCCCTGGGTGTCTGGAGTAGTTACCGGTTATTCTTACATCAGCTAGATGTTTATTTATGGAGCAATCATGAGTTATAGAGCATTTTAAGGAGCCTAAAGTTCTTTAAAACAGAAAACGTGGTGGAATGCAGTGTTTTCCAGGAGGCTTTCACAGGGGTTCGACCTCCATTTGCACCTAAATTGCAAGGGTCTCTTGTTTTTACTGCTCATAAACATAGCAGGCCTGCATGCTCTGAAATAGTGAGATTATATATATATATCTCAACCAAACAACATACTATTGTAAATTGGAGGTTTTTTTTTTCCCTTTTTTAAAAAAGTAGGAGGATCTCTTTGAAGTTCCGGGTGAAATGTTTGTGCAACCACCCAGTGTATCTGACTGGCAAATTCTTGGCACAGTCTCAACTTCCTCTCTCCCCCTTACCATAGGGGGGCCACTGAGGACTCTCTAGAGAAACTTGGGGTTCCAAAGTACCCAATTAGAAAGCCACTGCATGGTGGAAATAACATGATATCCATCCAAGAGACTGACTACCCATGTGGCCTCAGGTCAGTTTTCTGAGTCTGTTTCCTCATGTGTAAATGAAGGGCTAGACAAGGTGATCTCTAAGGCCTGGTGAGTTCTGACATCCTCAGGCCCTCAGCTGCCATTCCAGGCTCTCTGGAGTCTGATGCTGACTCACAGGTCCTTTCATCCCCATTAGAACCCCCTCCTGTACAAACGTTTCTGCTCACTGAAAACACCACCTGCCTTCCTGCCTCTGTCCCTCACTAATGATATTTCTATCTTGCATTGAGATACCCTCCCCTAGTCCACTCCCATTTCCTGCCCCCCATCTTTAAATTCTGCCTTATCTTTCAGGGCTCTTTACCCCCTTTTCCTTGTAAAACTTTCTTTAATGACCCCCACTGGCAGGGAGCCTTCTCTCCTCTGTTCAAGTCATATTCAGGACTGATCACACCATCATACATCACTCACATGATTCATGATTCTTAGGATTGATACAGCATTCACTCCTACCAATGTTCTTTGAGAGCCAGGCACTGTGCTAGATGCCTCAGTGATTTTGAAACAAATTCTAAGAGTAAGTATCATTATCCCCGTTGTCGGCTGAGGAAGCCGAGCCTCAGAGTAGCTATGCACTTTGATGACAAGTGGCCTTTTTCCCACTTGTCCTGATGGATAATCTCTCATCTGTGCACCACAGAACGTCTTCCCTCTACTGGAGAATTAGTATATTGCATCTTTTTTCCAAGGTTGTCTTCTTTCCTACTAGACTGTAAGCTCTGAAGGCTGGACGTCACTGATACGTCTGTTCCTTTCAGAAGCTAGCATGGTGCGGGGCACAACACAGATGCTCAGTAGATGCATGCTGAGTAAGTGAATAAGCTGTCTTTCCGCTTTGTTTATCTGCAGATCATGCATTTTCTAGCCTCATTTTTTTCTTGGTCACCTGTTTACAGCATAGAAAAGAAGCACCAAGTTCACAGTAAGACATATTTTTCTGTAGGCTCAGAAAATGGAGTGGATACTAAAAGCCTTGCTTCACCACTGTGCAATCCATGCATGTAACAAAATTACACTTGTGCCCCATGCATTTATACAAACTATAAAATAGTAGGAGTCATCACATGGAAAAGCAGATTGATGTTTTAGAAGCAGAGAGAGGCTGGGCATGGTGGCTCATGCCTGTAATCCCAGCATTTTGGGAGGCTGAGGTGGGCAGATCACTTGAGGTCAGGAGTTTGAGACCAGCCTGGCCAACATGGCGAAACCCCATCTCTACTAAACATACAAAAACTAGTTGGGCGTGGTGGTGGACACCTGTAATCCCAGAGACATGGGAGGCTGAGGTAGGAGAGTTGCTTAGACCTGGGAGGCAGAGGTTGCAGTGAGCTGAGATTGTACCACTGCGCTCAAGCCTGGGCAACAGAGTAAGATTCCTTCTAAAAATAATAATAAAAAGCAAAGGGAATAAGTGACCTGCTCTATGTCCCTTCTCTTGAAACAATGATACTAAATGATTGATCTCCACTTCTTAAGGACATTTGGATGAAACAAGATTAGATAGATGGTGTACGTGTCTTAGGAATAGGCCAAAACCTAGCTCATGTTCTAATGCAATGCTTCAGCAAATTAGGCCATAAGTAACTGCCCTGGGCCATGTGTGCTGCATGCTAGGTTTTCTATTCTATTCCTTCCAGTGAACATGTGGCATTTGTACTAAGAGGATCATGCCAACGGACCTTCTGAGCTTGGATGTGTACCTGCAAAATGAAAAAATACGTGAAAAATATAAAATGTGTCATGAGCAGAGCATACGGTTTCCAGCTCTGAGCTTCAGTGTTCTTTCTAGTTCTGCACAGAACCAAAAATTAGTATATTTTCTGCCCTGCAGCCACTCAACCCACTGGGGTCCTGAGGATGATGGGAGACCTCACAGGGGGCCCAGGCTGGAAGCTCCACCCCTAGAAAGCTGCACAGATGAAATACAATTCCTGAAGACTTGATTTTGTCTGTAAAAGCTGTCAGGATGGAGGTTTACATTGATGGGAAAAAATAGGATGTAGTTGGAATTTGTTTAAGTTTATTGAACAGTCTGGGCAAGAACGCAGCTTCAGGCTGTGGAGGACAGTGAGCAGCAGTGCTGACAGATTGTACCTGGAGCCTGCCTTCCCTCTTCAGTCCCTCCTCAGATACGTCTTTCTATGAAAGGAAGAGGTATTTATGTTCTGGATCATTAACTTCCCCTCATTTTCAAACAAATGGACAGGACATCCTGGATGGATAAACGAGGACATAAAGGGTGTTTCTTTGGCAACCGTCAACTGGACAGCAGTGTCCCCACTGGAATTCTAGCTGGAGCACAGCCTCTTCCAGTGTGCACTTGTTCACTGCACAACATGCATCCATGCCCTGGGGGCTGACGGTGACAGGCCTGGTTCTGCTGCTGTCACAGGTGCCATGCAGCATTGCTCTCCTTGGCTTTTCCTGAGGACCTATTTCTTCTGGTTTGATAACGTTTTGTTAAATTCCCTTGAGGAAATTTCTGAGAAATGGCATTACCTTTTATGTTTTCAGCAAATGGGGCTCAAGAATGTGGGAGCTGTTGGATCCAAGCAAATGAGGAATAGAAATAAGGCTGGAAGCCAGTTTATGGGCAGCAGATTGCATGATGGAAATTAATTTTATCAGCCTAACTGCAAGAATATGTGTGAGAGAAAGTTCATGGAATTTTTACTAACTCACATGGGAAATAAAAAGTCCAAACTCTTCTATGTAAACTTAGAACAGGGGTGTCCAATCTATTAGCTTCCCCGGGCCACACATAAAACACACTAACACTAACAATAGCTGATGAGCTAAAAAAAAAAAAATCACTAAAACATGTCATAATGTCTTAAGAAAGTTTATGATTTTGTGGTGGGCTACATTCAAAGCCATCCTGGGCTACATGCAGGGCATGGGTTGAACGAGCTTCATTTAGAGCCTCTTGAATAGGAATGGTGACTCATGCCTATAATCCCAGCACTTTGGGAGGCTAAGGTAGGCAGATTGCTTTGAGCTCTGGAATTTGAGACCAGCTTGGGCAACATGGCAAAACCACGTCTCTACAAAAAGTACAAAAATCAGCTGGGCGTTGGTGGCACGCACCTGTAGTCCCAGCTTTATGGAAGGCTGGGGCTGGAGAATCACTTGAGCCTGGGAAGCGTAGGCTGCAGTGTGCCGAGACTGTGCCACTGCACTCCAGCCTGGGTGACAGAGCGAGACTCTGTCTTTAAAAAGAAAAGAAAAAAACCTCTTTCACCCATCAGTCCTCTTTTCTTCTTTATCCCTTACTGTCTTAGTTTCTATTCAATCAAATTCATTTTCTTCTCTTGGGACAAATCTCTCTCTTGCCCCTGAAACTCTGCAGATGACTGTTATTTTGGTGTTTGCAAGGCATTTAGCCTTAGATTTAGTCATTTTATTTGAGACAGAGTCTCACCCTGTCACCAAGGCTGGAGTGCAGTGGCGGAATTGAACAGCAGTAGCTCTGACAGATTATTCACTGCAACTCCAACCTCCTGGGTTCAAATGATTCTCCTGCCTCAACCTCCCGAGTAGGTGGGGTTACAGGTGCCTGCTACCATGCCCAGCTAATTTTGTATTTTTAGTAGAGATGGGGTTTCACTATGTTGGACAGGCTGGTCTCAAACTCCTGACCTTGTGATCCACCCACCTCGGCCTCCCAAAGTGCTGGGATTACAGGCATGAGCCACTGCGCCTGGCCCTAGTTTTGTTTTAAAACTTTATTTTGAAGTAATTATAGATTCACAGGATGTTGATAAGATAGTACAGAGATGTCCCATGTGCCCTTCACCCTATGTCTCTCAATGATTCCATCTCACATAATGACAGCATAAGGTAAGGAGCTGGTCTGGTACCATGTGTATATACTACTTACGCGTTTATCACATGTGCAGATATGGGCAACTTCCACGCCAAGCAAGATCTGAACCACAAAGATCTGCCTGTGCTGCACCCTGAGAGTCATGCCCATCCTCCTGTCCCCAGCACCCTAACCCCAGGCAACCACTAATCTGACTTGCATTTCTATGGTGTTGTCATTTCAATGAAGTGATATTAATGGGCTCAGAGAGCATGAGCTTTTGAGATTTACCTTCTGCATTCAACATGAATGCCTTGCATTGTTTTATAAGGATCAACAGTTCCTTTTCATTGCTGAGTAGGATTCCAGGTCATGGCTTTTCACCTTTTCTCCTCCCAATCCTTTTCTCCCACCCAATCTTTCTCTCCTTGGAACCATCACTTCCAACTTCTCTCCATGGAGTTACTCCTGGTTACCTCTGCCCCTCCTTCACCCTCCATCCTGGCCCGAAGCATTGCAGATCCTCAAGGTGGGCTGGGTTTGGGAAACACAGGGCGGAAGGCTGGCATTTTTGAGGCATGATGGGTGTTGGGGGATTGTGACTCTCCCTCCAGGGCCTCCACCTTGGGACTCATTTGGAGATAGCCCCCGAGTCTGGAGGTGCTCTCATGCCTCGGGTTGTATAGACCAAGCTTTGTGTTCGTTTTTATTCCCAGTGGGTTTTGCTGGCCTAGGCTTCACAGTGCAGCCTCATGCTGTGGACTGAATGGCACCCCCTCAAAATGTTGATGCCCCAGTCCACAATGTGACTGTAGGTAGGGCCTTTATGCAGATAATTAGGGTTAAATGTGGTCATGGGGTAAGGTCCTGATCCAACAGGCGCAGAGGTCGCATATGAAAGGGAGACCAGAATTTCCTTCTCTCTGCTGTGAAGACACAACTAGAAGGTGGCTGTCTACCAGTCAGGAGGAGAGTCCTCATCAGGAACTGGCCCTGCTGGACCTTAATCTTGGACTTGCAGCCTCCAAAACTGTGAGAAAGAAATGTCTGTTGTTTAACTCACTTGGTCTGTGGTAGGTTGTTAGGGAGCCCAAGCTGACACATTTCACAGTTGATTATTACAATTGCTACATTTATTGCTACAAATGTAGCTATTGTAACAATGTGTGAGCTGCCTTTACATAAAATAAGAAACTTTATATCCAGATCCCACTGACTTATTTTTACTGTTGTCATCCTTTTTTCTTTTTAAATTGGTTAATTTTGAAATTAGCTTTCATTTCATCTGTGTTTGGTCATTAAAAGTACCTCTAATTGGTTGTTGAGGGAATTTTCTAAGCTATTGCTTGTTTGGATCACAGTCAGAAAGTGAAAGCTGGATGGAACTGGCTCGAATTTTTAAACACCTTGTTTCTTTACCATTGACTGGGGATCCTGTGAGGGCTTTGTCAGCACTTCTCAGATTCAAGGTCTTGATTTTCCAAGGAGTGCTCTGGAGTTGCCTCCAAGTTTCTAATGCCCAAGACAAGTTGTCACTTTTATTAGAGAGGTGGAAGTGTATTCCCTTTACATTTAATTCTAACTACTTCTTCAAGAGCAAAAAAGTAGATGAGCGAAAAAAGATGAGCCTGCTAATATTTTTCTAGTTTTAAATTTAAAACCCCCAGATAGCTTCCCACGTTGAAGGATCTTATCCTATTCCCATTTTCAATATAGCAAGCATAAGGCTAAAAATTATCTCCCTAAATGATGAGTAGTTTGTAACCAGCTGACATATGAGATGCCAGAAATCAAAACAATCTTTCTTCCAAAGCACCTGCATTCTTGGTCCACTTCTTTCAGATTTGCTAGACTCTTTTTTTATTGGTGGTGGTGGGGGGGGTAGGGAAACAGAGTCTTGCTCTGTCATCCATGCCGGAGTGCAGTGGTGTGATCATGGCTCATTGCAACCTCTACCTTGTGGGCTCAAGCGATCCTCCAACCTCAGCTGCCTGAGTAGCTGAGACTGTAGACGTTAGCCACCACAGCTGGCTAATTTTATATTTTTTGTAGAGATGGGGTCTCACCATGTTGCCCAGGCTGGTCTTGAATTTCAGGTTGCTCAAGCAATCCTCCCACCTTGGCCTTTCAAAGTGCTAGGGTTATAGGTGTGACCTGAGGTAGGTGCATCACCTGAGGTCAGGAGTTCGAGACCAGCCTGGCCAACATGGTGAAACCCTGTCTCTACCAAAAAAACAAAAATTTAGTTGGGTGTGATGGTGCACCTGTAATCCCAGCTACTTTGGAGACCAAGGCAGGAGAATCACTTTAACCTGGGAAGCGGAGGTTGCAGTGAGCTCAGATTGTGCCGCTGCACTGCAGCTGGGGTGACACAGTGAGATTCTGTCTCAAAACAAAAAAATGTGATGAATAATACCTTGGACTGGATGGTTTTAATTTTTCCACTGAGACAGTGTTTCAGACAATAGGTTGTCTTTTATCTAAGAGCAGGCTGAAAAGTCACACATCCTGCACACATTTTCAACCAGAGGTAGGGGAGGATGAACTGAATTGAATATTACTAATAACAAACTAGGGGAAACAAGAGATTGAGTTAAAAAAAACCCACCTCTATATAACATAAATTCCCTTTTTTTCTTATTGTTTTGGAGACAAGGTTCTCACTACATTGCCCAGACTGACCTCAAACTCCTAACTTCAAACAATCCTCCTGCCTCAACCTCCCAGGTAGCTAGAGTTTAAAGCCACACACTGTGCTTGAAGACCAACTACATCTCCAGATGAGGGTATTCAAAGGTAATGAACTGGTTCCCAGGCATCTGTTTTATAACAGATGCACGAGGGTTTATCTTACACTCCTTTTGATATTTAATGCTCATAAGATTGATGCCTCTATTAAAACACAGATGGTGTGTATCCCATTTAAACCCAGTTCAATATAATCATTGTTTGCCATGTGCAAGTTGGAATCTAAGATGAACAGAAAGCTGACCAGAAGACCTAAAACTCTTCTTATGAAGATGCTCTTGGCTTCGCTTCTTACCTTCACCAGCAGGTCCTTTGCCTCCTTCTCCAGCCACCGTGGGTAAAAGGGATTGTCCATGCGGATAGAGTGGAAGAGCTCCTCCTCATCCTGCCCGTGGAAAGGTGACTGACCGATCAGCATCTCATAAAGGAGAACCCCGAAGGACCACCAGTCCACAGAGTGGTTGTATTTCTGACCCAGCAAGATCTGCACAACCAAAAGGCAGACACAGAATTAGTAGGAATGAGGCTGAGGAGTGACAACTCTTCCTGAGCGTCTCAAGCCACGCAGTAAATGGTCAAGGGGAAAGATGTGTGAGGTTGCCCCAAAATCACCCCAAAAACTCTCTCCTGAGAAGCCGATGACTGGATAGCGATGTCCAAACAAGGCTGAAATGTTTGAGTCTGAGTAAGCTCTTTTCAGTTTCCATTTGTATTTTTCCTCTGGTTTTAAAGAAACAATGAAACTGTGTCATTAGTTTTTATTTTCCCATCAGTGACATGAGAACTCAGGTGGCAGATATCGGACCTATGAAAGGTGGCATATGTCTGAGTTCTCCAGAAGCTCTGGTGTGAGCCTTGAAACCAAGCCCACATGCTTTGCTGACTTGTACTGTCCTGAGTCTTTGCAGAAACTCTCTGTAGTAATAAAGCATCCAAAGTAGGCCATCTGGACAATTCCCTTCCTTAAAGCCTCACTATCTACGGCTGTTCGGTTCAGGAGGCACAACTGTAATCACTGATATGCAGACTCAAATTGTGTCCTGTGCCAGGAAAGAGAGCCTAAAATAAAGAGCTCAAATCTAGGCCAGGTGTGGTGGCTCAAGCCCGTAATCCCAGCACTTTGGGAGGCTGAGGTGGGTGGATAACCTGAGGTCAGGAGTTCAAGACCAGCCCGGCCAGCATGGTGAAACCCCATCTCTACTAAAAATACAAAAATTAGCCAGGTGTGGTGGCAGGTGCTTATAATTCCAGCTACTTTTGAGGCTGAGGCAAGAGAATCAATCACTTGAACCTGGGAGGTGAAAATTGCAGTGAGCTAAGATCGCACCACTGCCCTCCAGCCTGGGCAACAAGAGAGAACCTCCATCTCAAAAACAAAAACACCCCAAAGTGCTCAAATCTAGAAATCAGAGATCTCTAAGAACTACCTACAGCTAGTTGCAGGATCTGAGTCTATCTGCTAGGGAGGAAGATTCAAAGTCTGGAAGCTGCCCTAACATTTTGAAAGATTCCTATCCTTTCACCAACCCACTCTTCTAGCAAAAAAGCTTTGTATGTTGATCTTTCAATGAATTCCTTTTTGAATGTTGGAAGGTAGAGGGCACGTGCCACTCTGCTCAGTGCCTGACCTTCTCTGAGATGGCATATGGTAGGACCCATCCATGGATGAGGAAATGAGGAAAATGTGCTGGTGGGTATATAACAAACAGAAACACAGTCAGTTTGTTGAGACAGCTGGACTCACTTGCTCATTGCAGCATCATTCACAATAGCCAAGATATGGAATCTAAGCGTCCACCAGTGGATAAAGAAATTGTGCTATATATACACAGTGGGGTATCAGCCCTGAAAAAGGAGAAATTCTCCATTTGCAACAACATGGATGAACCTGGAAAACAGGTTGAGTGAAGCAAGCCAGGCGCAGAGAAACAAATACTGCAAAGTCTCACTTATATGTGAAATCTACACACGCTGAACTCGTGGAAGGTCAGAGTGGCGGCTGCCAGGGGCTGGGCAGAGGGTGGGGAGGAGGGGTTGGGAAGGCATTGAAAAAATTGTGGTATATCCACACAGTGGATTATTATTCAGCCTTAAAGGTAAGAGAAACCTGTCACATGCTATGTGAGTGAACCTTGATAACATTATGCTAAGTGAAATAAGCCAGGCAGGGAAAGACAAATATTGAGTGATTCTACTTATATATGGTACCTAAAGTATTAATTGCAGGTTTTGCCTTTATTTTCAGTGACAAAAACTTCAATTACTTTTGCAGCAACCTAATAGTTAAATTCTGGAGACAGGAAGTGGAATGGTGCTGGGGGACGGGGAATGGGGAATGGGGAGTCAGTGTTGAATGTGGATAGAATTTTGGTTTTCTGAGATGAAAAACTTCTGGAGATTTGTTGTAAAACTATACAATACACTTAATTATTTATTTATCTTTGAAATGGAATCTCACTCTGTCACCTAGGCTGGAGTGCAGTGGCATAGTCTCAGCTCATTGCAACTTCTACTTCCTGGGTTCAAGCGATTCTCTTGCCTCAGCCTCCTGGGTAGCTGGGATTACAGGAGTATGCCACCATGCCCAACTAATTTTTGTATTTTTAGTAGAGACAGGATTTCACCATGTTGGTCAGGATGGTCTCAAACTCCTGACCTCAAGTGATCCACCCACTTCAGCCTCCCAAAGTGCCCGGCCCTACATTTAGCATTACTGAACTATACACAAAAATAGTTCAGATGGTGAATTTCATGTTATGTGTATTTCCCCATAATTAAAAACAAAACCCTAGGACATAGCAGTGGCACATAAAAATTTTTTAATGGAAAAGAGGGGGAAAAAAAATCGTCAGTTCATGACTGCTGCTCCAAGGACGAGTTGCAGGCAAGTTGTTTATTACCCAAAACAAAATGGAGAAGGAATAACAGGACTGAGGCACTAAACTTAAAAGCAAGACAGTCGGAGGCTCTTGGGGATGAACATCTGTTCTATCCTGCGAGGTGTTCAGGCTTAGCTAGGTATATCTGTGAACACACACATATAAATACACACTCACAAAAGTTATTTTGTTATTGGCACTACTCATATAAGATGGAATTTTCTCTTCCTTCTTTAATGGGCGTTTGGAATGAGTGGCAGAATTGTAGCACTGATGGCCTTGGGAAAGAAAATGACACTACAATTCCAGTCAGCCTCCCAGCACTTTGGGAGGCCGAGGTGGGCAGATCACCTGAGGTCAGGAGTTTGAGACCAGCCTGGCCAATGCGGCGAAACCCTGTCTCTACTAAAAGCACAGAAATTAGCTGGGTGTGTTGGCGCATGCCTCTAATCCCAGCTACTTGAGAGGATGAGGCAGGAGAATCCCTTGAATCTGGGAGGTGGAAGCTGTACTGAGCAGAGACTGCACCTCTGTGCTCCAGCCTGAGTGACAGAGCAAGACTCTGTCTCAGAAAAGAATTCTAGAGATTCCAGTATTTTCTAGGAAAGCCCCATGTTTTGATGTTGGTGAGCTTTTTCAGATGGAGCAGACTGATGTGCATGGCAACCCCTCCCTGACCCTTGGCCACCTGGGCCCACTCCTGGGGGACGGATCGGCATGAGTGAGGCCCAGGGGTGCCATGAGGCATCTCTGACATAGGCTTGCTAAACAAACAAAAGAATAATGTCAACAGCAGCACAACAGGTTTTCTGGCCATATAAAATGTCACAGGCTCTACTTTTGGCTTAATCCCTTATTGCACAGTTTTGGGAGGATCTTTTAGCCCTCCTCAACCTCCTTGTGAAAAACGGGAATCATATCTGGCCAGCTTTTTACAAGCTTCTTGTGAGAATCCAATGAAAAGTAGCAAAGTCAAGGTGATTTGTCTTATGGGACGACTATAAATACTATGATACATATCTGTTCCGATGATGAGCTTGTCCCCATTTCTGAAAACGAAGATCAAGTTGCAAACAGAATTTTGCTATCTGTTACTAATTTCCAATGTAAAAATGCTACCCACTACTCTTACCTCAATATTTACATACTAACGTTTACGTTAGAATTTAGAAAAAATAGGCTTTGCCTTGAGGAATCATCTAAAAGTATACCTAGTGAGAATGATAAGGAAATTTAAGATGCACCCAACACAACCTTTCCTCAATTTGTTGGGCCAGGGATAGATGCAATTTCTGAGATGTGCCACAAGGCGGTGCCAAAGCAACAAGAAAGGCCTGAGCCACCCAGCTTTGTAAACAACTTCATTTTGGCAGGACAAACAAAAAGAAAATTTGGAAGGACAGGAGACAGCTGTGTGCAAATTAAGCCTTCTAAGCTTGGCAATGTTAGTAAAAAATTTCAGTTTTACTTTAGGAGGAAGCAGCAAAATGCAAACTCACAACAGAATGTCTGCTTCAGGAACACTGACACGTGTTAGGTATTCAACAAACATTTTGTCTTATTGATAAGAATCCACCTGAACTAGGCACGCACAGTTCTCTCTCTCCTATAGCAGGTGATGATTGGGCTTAGAAAGGCAAAAGGTCTTATTTAAAAGTCTCCTAGTTAGTGAGCTGAGAGCAATGTTCTGAATTCTGGTCTTTTAGGATTTTACTACGTGATTTTCCTTCCATATCATAATGTGCCTCTTTTTTTTTTCTTATATATTATTGCATTTTGGGTTTTGGGGTACATGTGAAGAACATGCAAGATTGTTGCAGAGGTATATACGTGGCAATGTGGTGTGCTGCCTTCCTCCCCATCTCCTATATCTGGCATTTCTTCCCATGTTATCCCTCCCCAGCCTCCCCACCTCCTGCTGTCCCTCCCCTAGTTCTCCCACCACAGACCCCAGTGTGTGATGCTCCCCTCCCTGTGTCCATGTGTTCTCATTGTTCAACACCCGCCTATGAGTGAGAACACGCGGTGTTTTTCTGTTCTTGTGTCAGTTTGCTGAGAATGATGGTTTCCAGGTTCATCCATGTCCCTACAAAGGACACAAACTCATTGTTTTTTATGGCTGCATAGTATTCCATGGTGTATATGTGCCACATTTTCCCTGTCCAAATGCCCATCGATGGGCATTTGGGTTGGTTCCAAGTCTTTGCTATTGTAAACAGTGCCACAATGAACATTCATGTGCATGCATCCTTATAATAGAACAATTTATAATCCTTTGGATATATACCTAGTAATGGGATTGCTGGGTCAAATGGAATTTCTATTTCTAGGTCCTTGAGGAAGCGCCACACTGTCTTCCACAGTGGTTGAACTAATTTACACTCCCACCAACAATGTAAAAGTGTTCCTGTTTCTCCACATCCTCTCCAGCATCTGTTGTCTCCAGATTTTTTAATGATCGCCATTCTAACTGGCGTGAGATGGTATCTCAATGTGGTTTTGATTTGCATTTCTCTCATGACCAGCGATGATGAGCATTTTTTCATATGTTTGTTGGCCTCATATATGTCTTCTTTTGTAAAGTGTCTGTTCATATCCTTTGCCA